GTTTCAAGAAAGTTAAAAAGTTTTCTTTGAAGAGGAAGAAGCTGGAACAAAAAAACAGCAGGGCCTTTTTATTGATCCCGCTAGGTAGTGACGTCAATTTTGGGGATGGTCTCCCAAACGTCGCTAAGGTGTTAACTTTTTGGGATAAAGAAATATACGTTGCGTGTATTTCTCTTTGATCTCTCTCTCCACAATATCGACATTTGGAAAAATACTTAGTTCTAAACATTCGGATAAAGACAGTTAAAACAAGGCTAAACACTATGGAAAAAGGTTATAATGGTTATATAAAACGTAACAAAGCTTGATTACATGTCCTCAGTATACTTGCTGGTTACTGGTTTTAACTCATGAGACAATTTAGATGTAAGCATGACGTTTATGCAATTACATGGTGATAGTTAGGCCTACTTAACAATTCTGTCAGTGTAAGCCGAGTTTTAAACACTTGCGTGTTATACCTTTCTTGTCCCCTTGGTGGCGCTCGGATCACACAAGAAAAGAGTAGACATTCCACTTTAACTGAGAGGCTGGTGATGCCTACGAGCGTTTCCATGGATAATTTAGTAGGAAATTGTATATGAAACATTTAACTAAAGCATTAGTTAGCATTGAATAGACAGTGATTACTAGGGAGTAACAGGAATGACTTAAGACAACACAGAAAGAGGTTAGAAAACTAGTTCAAGATTACTTTCTTATGAGTCTGCTAGTCTTCAAACATCACTAAAGGATAACAACAGGGTCATTACTTACTAAACTCAGATGCTAACACCGCTGCTCACTTAGCAAGGTTATTATTTAAACAGAATAAACACAGTTATACTGGAACCTTGCTTGGTTCGAGTAACAGGGGTTTTTATGGTCTCTCTTCTCTGCATTCCTGGCTTATCGCACCGGTTATCAGAGAATGAAATGGTGGTTTATGGCTCAGCCGTTCTGTGGAGAGAAAAGAGTCAGGTTGAGGCTGGAGCTGACCTGCTGGAGGGAGAAGGGGTCAGATCGCCCCTTTTCCTGTCCTGTGGACTGTCTTTAGTGACACCTTTACGGCTAGAAAGGTTCACTAAGGCTCTTTGAATACACAATCCTTAAGCGATTCATTGTCTGATTGAGTCTCTTTCGGTCCTTACCAACACCAGGCGATGTCTCTGGGTTTTACATGTAAAAAGGTCAACTCTCGGGGAGGGAAACTTCCCTCCCTCTTTTGACACCATCTGACCTTCTTTGAAGTGCGTCTGGTTGAGTTCACAATACTACATAAACAGAAATAACTCAGATTCCGTTTAAATCTCTCCAGTTTACTATTTATCCTCTTAGTAAAGTTCATAACAAGTCAAATTTACATGCAGAAGATCAAGAATACGGTTTTATTCTAACGAAAAAACAGCACAGTTCAAAAGAGTAAAAGCCCCCTCCCCAGTAAGCGCACCATAAAACGTAGTGGGAGTTATCATGTGCGGTGCGTGACAGGACCATCGACTGTTTGACGGATGGCAGCTGATACTTGTACTCACATTAGTTTTTATCATGGGTAACGTTAAGTAATAGCTACTCCTGCCAGTACAGTTTACTAAACTTTACAGTGTAGTGATGTTAACACAGCATATCGTTAGCGAACACTCAGAAACAGCCCATCAGTTTCTGGTTGCCATGGTAATTGATTACGTCCGACTATTAACCACACCCCCATTCTCTGTTTGAGAAAGAACGGGGGCGTTCCGATCGCCCTGTAGTTCCCTGCTAAGTGGACTGCGCGGGCTATTCAGCCATTTTAACTGAGATTCCAAACCGCGGGGAGCACAACATGTTCAGTTCAAAGGGCACTGTGAACTGTGTAGGGAAGAAGGGACCAACGGTTCATCACTTCACAGGAAGTTGTCAAGAAAGATTACCCATAAGCCTTTGCGCCTCATAGGAGCTAACAATAGAGCAGACCAGGGCCATTAAAGAAGAGTTACGACACGCTTTGATCTCGCCGCTACGCGGTCACGTGGTTCATGTAGCTCTCCATAGCTCCAAACAACTCAACGCTGTCAACCAGTTTGAATGGGTTTAGGCGGGACGGACACCAGCAGCAGCTATATTTGCAGCAATTATCGGTAAATATTAACAAAATATCACACTGATTACTGAGTTGACACTTACATTTATATGATAACATTTGTTCTGGAGAGTGGCGGAGACACAGATTTAATCAGATTTTGTGTTTAATTTTGGAAGGAAAAGGGGTTGTTCCCATAACGTAACATTACACATTTAGAAGAAAACAATAAGAATGACGCTGCATATCTTGTAAATTAATCCAATCACATTCATTCACAAGTTACATAGACATTGTTTTAACATATATTCAATATTTAATTTCAGTAAATGTCCACAGTAGCAGTGGGTAGCCCTGTCCGAGGTGTTTATGTTACCAGGGTAACACAGTGCGGAACTGACGTGTGCTTTGATGATGTTGATGGGTGTTGCAAATGGAAGAATTTTGTCGAGGGAAGTTCCCTTAACCGACATTCCCAGAGCAGGGAGTAGGGAGTACTGTTTATGTACACTGTGGATTGGAACGCAGCCAACATTAACCAAAAACGGCAGTTAAAACTGGCTGGAGGGGGGATTTAAGTGCTTTTATATTGTTTTCACTAAAATGCTTCAGTTTTAAATAAATAAGACCTGTTTCCTTTAATACCATTAGTAACCAACAGTAATAAATATTCTATTGTTAACCGTCAACGGTTCGGTTCCCAGGGCCGAAATCATTGCTAAGTTTTGGGAATCCCCTTATCTCTTTCTTCAACAGTTGGCAAGCAACACACAGGAGCTTCGCTTTAGTCTTGAGATGCTGTTGTCTTTATTCACCGGCCACTGTAGCTGCTCTGCGGCCGCCATTCACCGCCGTTCACAGACACACTCGCTCAGTCTCCTCCTCTACCATAACTCACACATGACTTTTACACGTTTTTGAAGGATGGCAAATACTTCTTTGTCTCTAAGTCTAATTATCCCAAAATCTATACAGAATCACAGAAACTATCTAGGTAATATATTTTTTTTAATATTGCACACTCCTACTCCAGTGTCTTCATGGTTATCTAAAGCCAGATACAGTCTCCGCCGGTGTGGATAGGCCTTAAGTGATTGTTGTCACCAGTGGTCAATACTACATCTTTGCTTTACGCCTTACTGCATGGATCTTGTTGAACAGTCCTCGGTGGTTGGATAAACTGCCTTTTTTGGTGTCATTCTGCATATCTGAACTGATAGTTATTACTCATTTTAAATGCATCTGGTTCCACAACTTTAACAACTTAGGCCCAGCTCTGTCCCATTGCTTTGCAGATACTATAATTTCCCTTGTTTATTCTTGTTTCAGTGCACTCTCTATTCCACTGAAAGCACATGTTTGAGTAGATATAATAAAACATTGACTTTAAGTATGGAACTTGTTTCATTTCATCTTCAAAACACTTGTCAGCTTATTTTAAATATGAATAACACGTCAATAAGTTCTGGTATCCTTGATTGTAAATATGATTTTTGCTGTGTAATATTACATAATAAATGGATATAACTATATTTTGGGCATTGCTTTATAAAATTCTCTATACAAAAAAAAATTATTACACATTTAAAGAGGTGGTATTATGCTCATTTCAGGTTCAAAATCTTAATTAGGGGTTGTGCCAGAACAGGTTTACATGGTTTAATTTTCAAAAAACACCATATTTTTCTCATACTGCACATTGCTGCAGCTCCTCTTTTCACCCTATGTGTTGTACGCTCCGCTCTTCAGCTATCTTACTTGTACAAAATCTTTGTTGGGAGTTGCACATGCGCAGTTCCCAGGTAAGGACTACTAGCCAATCAGAAGCAGAGAAGGGCGGGTCGTAAGAAACAAGGTAGTGTGATCCAAATTAAAGCCGCTTCAGACTGCAACCGTAACCTAGCAGATAGTATAAGTTACTCACAAGTCCACATCATCATTGTTCCACATCTTACCATCAGGACTAAATGTTGAACTGTTGCCGGTGTTCTGACGATCTATGCTGCCCTGCCGAAAAATGCTGCCATAGTGCAAATCGATAAGACTTGGGAGCAGAGGGCTCTGTGAGCAGGCGGCTGGCCGGCCTCACACGCTCCTCCCGCGGGTTGGCGCAGGCTTCCCCGCAGCCACTCGCGGAGCTCAACTACGGAAAAATTCAAGCATTTTTGTTCCGCCATTACTTCTCCTAAAACTGTCAATATTCTAAATCTACACAGCTGATTTCTCACCTCAAAACTTCTCAGAAGTGGATTTAGTGATGAAATTCCATACGAAAACTGTAAAATATAAAACTTTCTGTTGCTGGCCTCTGTCTTGTGCACGCGATGATGATGCAGTGAATAGTGAATATTCTCTCTGACCATTCAGCAGTCTGTCATGTTTTCATGTTACATTTTAGTATCCCTCAGCTGGCTTGGAACCTCGACGGAGGTGAGGTGATACAAAAAAAGTACCTGGAAGCAGGTACAGGTACAACATTTCTACAATGGAAAACCAAACAAAGGCGAGTCAAGCCAAAGGGCCTCCACTCAGACTAGCTTGGTTTGAGGGCGTGCCTGACCCTGCTAGCAGCTTGGCAAGCTTTATGACGCGTTTTCATTGTGACGTCACAAGTAAAGGAAGTGAAGGGCTGGACTACAAACGAGCTGTTTTCAAGCGGTTCAGCAGAGCTTTCTGTGGGAGATGGGAACTCCCTTTGGGCTGGACTTTGGACTTTTTCCACTTTGCAAACCTATTACATGCACAAAAAAAAAAAAAAAAGAGATAACTCAATAAAAGGGAGGGAAAGAGCCAAAAAGCATAATACCACCTCTTTAAACTGAGCTGACTCGTGAAGTGTAGTGCAGCAGTTCAGAACCATTGACAGGGAAAGTAAAATTCAATACCAAAAAGAGTATTCTCCTCTCTCTCAAGTAGGCTACTATGTAATATTAATCAGAAGAAAAAGTGACTAGCAAAGTGGGATTCAATCAATTTATTAAAAATAGCCATTTATCTTTTATCATGAATAAACGGCCTTTGCCCCAACTGGGAGTCAAACCTGCGTCCAGAGAATCGTGCTTAAATATTCATATTCGTTCAGAACCTTGGACAGTGGCTGGAAAATTCTGCAATCTGTACACACAAGGATTTGATATAATTTGATTTTTTAATACTGTAAAATTGAAATACATTAACAGTATAGGGCAAATGCTACAAAGTCAGCAGGAAAAAGGTGTAATAATCAAAATATGTAAGTGAAAAAGGTACAAATATCAGACATTATAGCAGCATACATACATGTATACACATCCACGCGTGCAAGAACACATTCAGATTGGGTGCTATTGCTGAGCACATTGGTTCTCCATACTGCTGTTGGAGCTGACATGGATCATTTCTACTCTTCTTTGTTTCTTTCTTCTCTCCTCTCTCTTGTTCTGCTGCTGGTTCTCCTCCATCTCCACCTTACAATCAGTCACAGGAGAGCTAAAATAGATATACTTTGTAAATATACAATCCAATGACTATCATTTTCATATAACACATTTTAGTCATTTCCCTAGTTTTAGTCTAGATTTAAGGCATTTCCACACCAGGTTTGAATGTACACTTTGCGTTGGTATTGCTTCTTGAAAGAAAAAAAACTGTGTTCTTTGGAATTTTTTTATTGTCTTTGTGATTGACCAATGAAAAACACATTGATTTAGAAGTTCCCTGTTGACTCTTTAGCAGTGGAGCTGCTTTTCTATGAGTTTGTATTATGCACAAGGACGCACATGCAAGCAACAGCACTCTGTGTCTCCTAGGGGCACTCTGTGGCATAATCCTGCACACATGGTTGCAGGATTATGCTGCAAACGTTTGTTCAGTATGAATGTGCAAATGCGGCATATTGGCGGATTTTCTTTCTGCATTTATTGCAGGATCTCTGTATGAAAGCAGCTGTGCTTCTGGCTATAGCGTTAGGAAGCGGTCTTATTTTTTGTTTGGGATTGGCCATGTTCTGTGGTGGAGCCTTGATATTTGATGCATATCCTAGGTATAAGGCAAAGCCTAGTTCACACTACACGATTTTAAGCCTGATTTGCCGGTCGGTGAGCTCAGCGACCATCAGGCTGTGATCGGGGGTAAATCAGTGATCAATCGGCGGCCACCAGTCGTTATGTGTGAACTACTCAATGATAAAGGTAACAGATGCAACTTTTCCCCAATGGAAAACCAAAAAAGGTGAGTAGTGTCGAGGTGAGGTGAGCTGGTCCCGTGCAGTGGAAAAGGGGCAAAACTCACCAGTGGAAGAGGCTCAGTCCGTCCTGAGTGACAGTAAGTTAGGTTGCCAGCAGCACTATCTATTCAATGCAAGAGGGGTCACTTCGTTATATTTTCGTAGGCTCAGTATTGAGTATGCGTATAATGTTTATTGTGTAAATATATGCAACATTGAATGACATTATTTACAAAAAATAATGCCTAAAAGGATCTGAATATTTCTCCTTCATTTAGCGCATCCATTTCAAAAGTAGCAGATAAACGTCTGAGTGGCAAAAAAGAAACTGCCTGCCACAATGGCAGTGATGTTGCCTTACACGTAGAATAATGATTCCCAGTCTCTTCGTCACAGTGAGGACTACAGCTTATTCATGTAACACTGGTATCGGTTCGGTATTCAGCATCGATATCCAGATATCAGTATTGTACTGAACAAGTCAGATAGGTGCATCACTAGTAGCCTGGAGGAGCCGGGAACTGAACCGCTGACCTTCCGATTAACGGGCAACCCGCTCTACCTCCTGAGCCACAGCCGCCCTAGTATAAGAAAATAAAATATTTTTTTGAACTTTGAATCATGCAAAGCTGCCATACAGCAGTCATAGAACTACAATATAAGACTGGAAAAGAAGTTTAATAGGTCTCCTTTAAGAGGCTAAAATACTTTAGCTGCTGACTCTGTCCTCAGGAGTATGCTGCTTAGCTGCCGTGCCGGTACAACGCTCTGCTTCTCCAAAGTGGGGACATGCTGACCACCATGGATAAGGACCTCATACAGCCCAACAAACAAACAAAAAACAACTATCCTTTTAAAATACCTAAGCAATTGCTAATTTGCACCTTTAATGAGGAAGGCCATACATTCAAGGGACCATCAAATAAAAGTGAATAACAGGAATAGGAATTAGTGTTCTTTTTGCTTATTTAGACTTAGTGGCTCTGAACAAATAAAAACATTAAGATCTTACCTAAAACACACAGGCAGTCGGTTAAACAGCAAGGTTGGCTGAACACAATACTGTGTACTTTGTTAAAGGATGAAAACCTAAATATCATCATCATCACTGCTAAAGCATGGGGTCCATTGCTGACTAGATGCGCACTACTGCATTTCATTAGCTCTGTACCCTGTATTTTAAGTAGCCGGCTATTTAAAAGCAATAAAATATTCTTTGTGTGGTTCATAAACGGTAATAAATTATCCAAAAGTCCCGCGAGGTGCGGACAACTCAGCACAACACCAGTGTAGTTGGGGCTCCATCTCTTCAGCAAGTGTTCCTCCACTACCACTACACACACGCTACGCCTACACATGCGCATTATAATTTTGGATTTATTCACGCACTTTAGAAACATTTATTGAAAGTTTTATTCTTTTTACATATTTATTTACAGCATTAAACGTTGAAATGTATATTGTAATAGGCTGTATATTAACGTATTAGGAGAAAACTGGTATGTAAACTTCTTGTAAACTTCTATATAAAATCAGACATTGAGCACCCCCCACATCGCCAAAATGGCATGGTCCTTGTTTCACTGCGAAGCTTCGACTGTGAGATTGACAGTTGAATCAGGCGAACCGCACCGAACCGCATAGTCGATGTTTTAAGTGACAGGTGGGTGCTCTCTCAGGTGGCTAGTAGCTAGCTTGTTCAGGAACCAGGCTTCATTTGGCCTGCCTCTGCTCCAAATCTTGGCCCATTTCTGCATTTTGTACATCTAAAAAAAAAAAAAATACATCTGGACTCCGCACAGACATACTGACCTGGGGTTGGGAATCATAACAGGATCATGTCCACTGATCTTCACACACTTCACAGGCTGTGGCTTAGGTTCTGAACATATGACACAAAATGGCAATGATTAACGGTGCCACCACATAACATGAGTATTTAATACTTGCCTTGCCCTTGTTGTGTATTGCTTCTGTAATGTAACTGGACTCAATTTAAATTTTGCCCCATTTTGACCCTGGTTCAGCTGCAAAAGTTACTGACCTCCAATGCACACACCGTCTGTGAAGCTTGAAGACTCAGCTGCACAACAAGTGTCCCCTTTGGGGTCTGTTGTTTTAGTATTTGTGACATCCATCTCCACAGCGACAGCCTGCTCGCTCTTGTCAAGTGTGGTTTCTTCAGAGGATGGAGTCACGTCAACAGGAAGCTTCTCTTTTTTTCTCTTCTGGATCAGATTCTTTTTAGCCGCTAGAGACAAAAGTTGCAAGAGGTAGCAATGTTACAGTCATATAGATTTGCAATAGGGTTGGTCCGATAGACGATGCCATCGTCCATCGGCAATGGCTGACAGACATCACAACGTTGAGCCGGCATCGTGATTGTAAACCCCCCCAGCAAAAAAAATCTCAAATGTTCACATTATACTACCCTGTGAAAGCAGGTTTTAATGACCACATTCTTCTTGTTTTTAAGTTTGCTCTGCACCTGCCTCGGAATTCTCTTTTCCCCACACTCACACCTACACGTCAGGTAAACACCCCGGCTTGCCTGGCCTCTCTCTCTCTCTCTAAGTACTAAGTAAATCAAACAAATACAAGATAATTAGGCATTTCACGGTAGGCCACTGTGCGTGAATTTTCCCAAAAGCCTTAAACGCACCATCTGCAAATCTAATACCTACAACAAATTTACGGTAAATTTAACAACTTCAATAAATCTTCAGATCTTTCCATAACAGCAGAGACACAGGACCAATGTGCAAAAATTGACTTGGTATTATTCTTGTTACCTTTTGGCTCATATTTATGTTGTAGCTCCTCTACTTGTAGCTGCAGTTTGATCTTGTCACTCTGAGCCTGTAGAAGGAACAGAAACATACAATTAAACTGTACAAAGTGTGTCACTGTTACCTTTGGATATGGCCAGCAATTTATTATTAACAGCAGCTTAGGGCTTAAGCAAGGCTAAAATACCAGTGTGTATTATTACCTCTAACACTTCCTAACCGCAAAGGTTTCAGCTGTGTGTTGTAACATTATACCACAGATTAGGACTGTGCGATATGATATGTAATCATTTACAATTATGCTCTATCGTTTATTTTGTTGTGTCGCAAATTCCACACTTTCGCGATGCATCGCAGTGAAGTTAGTTAGGGCCCGAGCACGAACCGTGCGAGGTCCCTATTGAAACTGTAAAGATTATTTATTTATTTATTTTTTCCTGCAAAGTAAGCTCAATTTGGGGGCCTAAACATACTCAAAAACTCACCAAACTGCCTCTTGGAGCTGCCTCCAGATGTACCAAAAAGCCTCTTGGAGCGATGCCCTAAACCCAACAGGAAGTCGGCCATTTTGAGTTTTATGGCCATTTTTGGATGATTTACACACTTCGTACTTTAACGAACTCCTAGAGATTTAGTCAGACCGACTTCAAATTTCTGCTATGCCTTCTAAAGGCATCGACGATGAAAAGTTGTGCTATCTGTGAGTTTTCGTCAATAGGCGTGTCCGTGGCGTGGCGTCAAAGATCAACTCTTCGCCATGACACAGGAAGTTGTTGTAACTTCAGTGTATATGCTCACATCGGAACAAAACTTTACGTGCTTGATAGCTGTCCTGCCCTGAACATATCTATTCAATTTTATTTATATAGTGCCAAATCACAACAACAGTTATCTCACAGCGCACACGCCAATATTAATTTATATTCATAGCGCCAAGTGCTATGTAGCGCCACAAAGGGGACACAGGAAGTGAGGAAGCGTCCGAAGCACGTAGCAAATTCACAGTGTGTGTCCGCCTCACACCCCGATGCGCTGTGTGAGGGCCCGCCCAACGCTGCTTGCAGCTTTAATTAAAATAGGTTTTCCAGATTTCGAGAAATGAAAACATCATCGCACAGAGGCGTGTCCTATATCGGAATCGGCAGCATCCCCCAAACACACAGACATAAGGTTTATGAATGTGCAATGTAGTGAGCCGTAGTTATCTGGCAAAATGTCCTTGGGTTGAAAATCCCATTGAAATGAATGGGGTATTTGAGCTTCGATTATAGTGCCACCTTTTGGCCAAAGTGCACCAAATTTGGTGTCAATTGGACTTGTAGTTGTGGAGATATAAAATGCATGTAAGTCAATGGGATTCTTTCTGACGTCTTTAATCTGTAATAACAGCGCCACCTATGGGCATATTATTTGCATATTTGGGTGAAGTTTGGTGCATGTAGTAAGGGGACCATGCTGAACAATTCGGCACTGGTTTCATGTCAGTGTGAGTTGTGGTTATAGAGGAACAATTTTCTTGGATTAAACAGCGCCACCTAAGGGCGAGTTGCATGAAATTTTGCACAGGCCCTCGGGGGCATCCCACATTAACGCTCCAAATTTGGTGTCGATCGGCCATTTGAAAGTGAAGATATGACATTTGACAAACGTTTGCTAGCATACAATTGCGACACTTTTTGTCGTATCAAAATTTCCTGTACAAACTTTCAGCTTGGTCCAGATATTATCCGTGGCAAGTTTGGTGTCGATCAGACTTGCGGCTTCGGAGGAGTTAATTAAAATAGTTTTTTCAGGTTTCGCGATGTACCGATAAAAAAGTCTAGGCGGAAATGGGCGGGGCCTATACCACAACATTCAGCTCGATCCCCCGAACACGTGGATATAAGATTTTTGATATCTGCCACTGTATGCGGGAGTTACAGTGATTTGAATGTGCCAATCTTTGGACCTTGCTTGTAGCGCACCCTAGGGGTCGAAGTGAGCGAAATTTTTCGCATGCCGTCGTCTGATGGGCCTGAACCAACCCTGTGAGTTTCACGTCCCTAGCGCTTACCATCTAGGCTGCAGTAGTGGAATTAGGCGAAAATGTAAGGAAGAATAACAAAAATTAAAGCTGCAAGCAGCGTTGGGCGGGCCCTCGCACTTGTAGCGCGTCCGCGCGTGACTCGGCCGAGTTGCATATTCTGGAGCTCTGCCGGTGCGGCTGTGAATTTCCTACGCGGTTCCGACGCCGCATGAAGGTGTTATATGTCACTTCCTGTGTCCCCTATGTGGAGCTACATAGCACTTGCCGCTATGAATATAAATCGGTATTGGTGTGTAGATGTCTGCGGGGTGGGAGAGTTATCAAGCACGTAAAGTTTGTTTCAGATGTGACCATGTACACTGAACAATAATGTACCCAAACAATAAAATAAATTCCTTTTATATTTCCCTGCCTTGTTGTTTATCTGTACATACAGAGGAAGAATGTGAGAACAGCACACATTTCATCGTTACTGTGTGTTAGAGCATGGGAGAACAGTGGATACTTTTAATACAGCCCACACCCCTAATACTGTGTAACTATAACAAGTAGAGAACAGAAGAAAAAGATGTTCTTTCTTTACAACTGTCTTCATAGCTTATTCATATTGTGTAATGAATGAAAATAAATAGGCCTACTAGGCTCCTCTCTACTTTGACATTTAAGATTAGCTTGTTTGATCCACCTCCATACACATGAGACATTACTGTACAACTTGAGAAAGGTGAGTTGTTTTCTGCTCCAGCCTGCCTAAAAGAAAAGCGTTTTTGGGGTTAAATGGACTTTATTAGCTGCTGCAGTGCAGGATGAACTCCGAATAGACCCATTTCTCACCTTATTATTCTAAATCATGCAACGAAGAAGAAGAAATGCATAATAAATCCTGGGACAAAATCTGTCCACAGCATGTAGTCTGATGAACAAGACTTGTGTTATAGCTGACTTGGGCAGTGAAATGTTTTTTTAATTCATGTGGTCATAGTTGTCCACAACTCAAATCAGAATATAAGAAGAAATGTTTTATACCACCTCAAGAAGGCTTCCTATCAGAAAGGTAGGAAGGTATTTCAAATGTACAACTGCAGTACTTAATTCTAAGTAAAGTAATTTCCCTGACATTACAGTGTTACGCATGTAACAGGTTTTATACTTCCTGTGAGTATAATCCAATCAGTCTTATTTTCATACTGTATATCCGTTGTGTAATTTGATAAATTGTGTTGTATGTGGTGCTCGCATCGGGTACTACTGAGACTTCATTGCCCTCTTCAGAGAAGACTCTGACTGCAACATGCGTCTTTGTAAAGAGAGAAACGGACAGAAAAAGTCTCTAACTCTGCCTGTCAGCTCGCTCTGCTCCGTTAAAACTGAATTTACCATACAGAATTGAATACGAGTGCACTCCAGATTTAGCTGCAGCCAGCTGACCGTGTGCTTCTCCCTATACCGCAGTTCTGTGTCCATGCATGCAGCAAACTGAAAGCACTGTCTGTCGGAGCGTCTACGTGAAAAGAGAAGGAAGACATGGCTGGTAGTGTCTTCAGAGTTGTTAAACACCTCAGCGCACTGAAGGAAGCCATCTGACTGTGTGAGGGGCAAGATCGTTGATGTCTGCAGGTAGAGTAGGAGCTCTCCTGTCTGACTGGTCCACCAATAGCAGAGAAGATGACCCCTTGAGACACAGCCCCTCCTCATTTGCGAAATGAGGCAGAAATGCATACAAAAATTTAAAAAGACAGGCAGAAAGAAATACCATGGGTGAAAATAAATAAGGTAAATAAATACAAAGGAAGAATAAAACAGACAAAAATATTAAAACACACACATAAATAAATACATTAAAAAAATTAGTAATAAATAAAGTTGAATAAACAAATAAGGTAATTATAACAAAGGTGAATAAGTAAAGACACTAATTAAAATATAAACATTTATGTCTCCTTGTATAATTTAATTACTACCTACATTTATTTATTAGGGCCCGAGCACGACCGTGCGAGGTCCCTATTGAATTTGCTCGGATTATATATATTTTTTTTTTCTGCAAAGTAGGCCCAAATGACATGGCCTAAACATACTCGAAAACTCACCAAAATTTGCAAACATGTCAGAACCGGTGAAAAATTTCGTATTCTACAAGTTTCGCACATGGGCGTGGCAAAATGACTCGCTAGCGCCACCTAGAAAATTGGAAATGATTAGCCCCTCGTTCACGTTCAACCTACATGTACGAAATTTTCTGGGGACATGTATCGTATCAAGACGCACAAAAAAGCCTCAAGAACCCATAGCCTAAAGTCAACAGGAAGTCGGCCATTTTGAATTTTACGGCCATTTTTGGATGATTTACACACTTCGTACTTTAACGAACTCCTCCTAGGGATTTAGTCGGATCGACGTCAAATTTCTGCTGTGCCTTCTAAAGGCATTGACGATGAAAAGTTGTGCTATTTGCGCGTTTTCGTCAATGGGCGTGTCCGTGGCGTCGATGATTCGCAATGAAACAGGAAGTTGTTGTAACTTCAGTGTACATGCTCACATCTGGACCAAACTGTACATGTAGGATGAGAGTCCCGCCCTGAACACATGTACATGCCGACATTCACCCACAGTCATAGCGCCACCTGCTGGCAATAGAAAGTGACCTTTAACGAAGCAGCCCCCGCCGCACGTTTCACCTACGTGCACGAATTTTCTGTGGTACGTGTATCTTGTCCAGACGCACAAAAAAGTCTCTTGGAGCCATAGCCTAAACCCAACAGGAAGTCGGCCATTTTGAATTTTACGTCAAATTTTGGATGATTTACACACTTCGTACTTTAACGAACTCCTCCTAGGGATTTAGTCCGACCGACCTCAAATGTTTGCTGTGCCTTCTAAAGGCATTGAAGATGAAAAGTTGTGCTATTTGCAAGTTTTCGTCAATGGGCGTGTCCGTGGCGTGGCGTCAAAGATCAGCTCTTCGCCATGACACGGAAGTTGTCGTAACTTCAGTGTACATGCTCACATCTGGACCAAACTGTACATGTAGGATGAGAGTCCCG